ACAGGTTTTCCTTCTTAGGGTTTTTCTCTGGCATAGGAGTTCCTTCATCCATCCTTTCTTCTTATCGCTCCCTTCTTCCTCTTCATCTCCTCTTTCCTCTTGTCGCTATCTTGCTTTAGAAACTCCAATCCAAGGAACCACAAGATAATAGCTTTTTGGGTTTTCTAGGGTTTATATCTATTTATTTTCGAAGGCTGCAATTAGAATTGATCTTGCCAGTGAAGTGGGTTTCTCTTATTTAATGGGCAAGAATCTCGCTTTGGTGCATCTCCTCGGATGGGATCTTGGCGGAGTCAAATTCGACGAATTTGGTTCACACCAATTCCCGATCAGTTAGCTGATTGCCGAAGGAAAAGGATGATGTTGGGAAGGTTGGCTATAAAGTTTGATTTTCAAGCGGGCAAAAGGGCTCTAATTCCCTTAATAAGTTTCGACAACATTGGTTTGAAGAGGATCGACAAAAATGGGAACATGATTGGGAGTATATGGAGGCGACTGGAGGGCCTTGTGCTTGTCAGGAAAAGTCCATACCCCTCTTGGTTGTTCTTCTTTAATAACAAATAAGATGGCAACTTGTGGGTTGGGGATTGTTTGTTGCTGAAATCCCTTACTCTCCCCAAGAAGTTAGTTAAATAGGTGAGGATGTCTAGTAGTTGTTAATACTCATAGTAACTCCTTTTTCTACATTAGTAGCCCTATTTAGCTCATACAATGATTGTAAATTCAATCCCTAGTTATAAATGACTTTTTTTACTTAATTGTCTATATCTATCATTGGCATAGTTTAAGTCTATTACTAGTGCTGTAGGTTATTCTTCTGATTTTGTCCTTATGTTATTTTGATTTTGGTTGTATGTCATGAGATGAAGATGTCATGAGATAAAGATTTTGTTTAATTTCTTATTACTTAATATATTTCTTTATTTCCCATAATATATATGGTTAAAACCCTTTTTGGTCCCTGAACTATTGTACGAATCCCTGATTTGATCCTTGAACTAAAAAAATCCCTAATTTGGTCCTTACTATTTACCATTTTTACCCCGATTTGGTTCTTCTGTTAAAAATCCAATGATGTGTCCCATTAACTAACGGGAAATGATGACACATCAAAATATTATGACACATCAATACCATGTCATTAAAACACGTCAGATTTCAGCCAACAAAAAAAAAAAAAACGTGGGGCCCACCTCCTGCCAAAATCACTATCTTCTCTCCTTCCCATTCACACCCTAAATGGCAAACACCAACAGCTGCCGCTGGGTTCTTGGAACCCAGGCATGGGTTCGAAGAACCCAGCAAGCTTGGGTTCTTTGAAGGAACCCAAGTGCGAGTTTGAGGGAACCCAGCATGCTTGGGTTCTGCGAACCCGCGCCTGGGTTCCTTCGAAGAACCCAAGCATGCTAGGCTCTTCAAGGAACCCAGGCACGGGTTCGAGGAAACCCAGCACCTAGGGTTCTTCAAACCCAAGCATGCGTTTGAAGAACCCAAGTGTGGGTTTGAAGAACCTAGCACGCTTGGGTTCTTCGAAGGAACCCAGGCCCGAGTTCGAGGGAACCCAGCGCTTGGGTTCGAACCCAGCAGGCTTAGGTTCTTCAACAAAAAAATAAATAAATAATTTCTGTGTTTTTGTGGGTGTTGTTTGATGATGATGATGAATTGATTGATGAAGAAGGAAAGGAAGAGGAAGGAGAAAGGGAACGAGGAACACCCAGCTAGGTTTGAAGGAACCCATCGCCTAGGTTCGACGATCCCAGGCTCTGGGTCCAGGAAATGAAAAGGAAGGAAAAAGGGAACGAGGAAGGAGAAAGAATTTTTAAAATTTTTATTGCCATGCTGTCTTTCATGTGGATTAAAATTTTGACATGTCATCATCTTACCGTGAATTAACAGTACAAGTGGAGAAATTTTTAACGGAATGACCAAATTGGGGTAAAAATGGTAAACAGTATGGACCAAGTCAGGGATTTTTTGAGTTGAGGTACTTAATCAGGGGTCCGTACAATAGTTGAGGAACCAAAAAGGGGGTTTAACCTATATATATATGTCAATTTCCTCTCTTATAATATTTACAAAGCATCACACTATCCATGTTATTTATTTTAAAATATTTACAAGAAGAGAGAATTA